TTGATTGTGCAAAATTCGATCATTCTCTCTCCAGCTCCATTTCTGTCACCGAGTCCATGTTTTCCAACTACTGAATCTTCCTCTTTGTTCCCAACATTAAAATATCATCTTTTTGTCTTTTAAAATTTTGCTCTTAGAGATCTGCTTTTTGCATTATAAAGTTCTGTTACTTCTGTTTTCATGACTTTCCAGGTAAACACTCCCTTTATACTTCTCAATATTATTGGAAAACTCATTAACCATTTTTGACAATCTATTTTATAACTTGCTTTGTATACTTCATTCTCATTCAGCTTAACAGTAACAAGACTTCATTGGCTTCGTAATGATTACAGGATAAAAATCTACCTTTCAGTTGTAATTCTCAACTGTCAGAGATTTAAGTTAATTATGACACATATGTCCAATGGAAGAATAGGCAGCTTACGCCAAATAAAATCCAGTTCCAATTTGTGAAATGGAAAAATCACTAGTGTATATGTTGAGTGGGATCAAACTGCTAAGTGAGAAAAGTACAGAACAGCACACTGTCAATCGCCTGTGTGTGTAAACAAGTCAGAAGGGGAAGCTGGAGAGGGTGATTCTCTGTGGAGGACAGGAAATGCAGACAGTTTACTTTTCTTTCTGTTTTGTAATTAAATTTTGTGCAAATGCATATATTACCTGTTAAAAGAATCACAATTTCTGTAAGAGACATTTGGTTTTGCTTATGGTTTATTTTTATGTGCCAGGGCATAAATCTGAAATGCACTGAAGATAGTTCTCTAACAGAATATGTAATACTGGGCCTTTGATTTTTAGGTTCCTGGATTGTATAAATCTAATTCTGTGGACTCTCTTTCCACAACTAAGATCAAGCCTCTAGTACCTGCCAAGGTCAGTGGGCTGAGCAGGAAATCAGCAGGTATCCAGAGGAGAAAGCATCACAATGCAGAGAACAAGCCCGGACTGCAGATAAAAATCAGTGAGCTCTGGAAAAATTTTGGATATAAAAAGTGAGTTGCCCCATTCCTTATCCTAAAATAGGAAAAATAAGAATAAAGTTTTTTTAGTAGTGTTGTTACCATATTTATATATTTTAAGCTGTTTGTTTCCCTAAATTATCCAACCTAGAACTTGGGGAAGCTACTGAGTTTATAGAATTAATTTTACCGGGTTTCTAATAAATTTGGCAAACATTTTAGAAAGATTGACTCTCAACATTTTTGAAAGCATAATACTTCCTTCTGTGAGACTTTAAAATTAGCCACAAAGTATCATCAATTTATATTGTTCATGTATGTTTTTAAATTCTTCCAAATAAAGCATATGTACCGAGAGGAACCCAGAAGTGTTTGAGTTTATGTTCTTTGTTCGGTTTGTGTGTGTGTGTGTGTGTGTGTGTGTGTGTGTGTTTTGTTGGGTTTTTTTTTTTAAAGTTACATGAGGCGATAGGGTTGAACCATAATCTAGTTGGAAATACTGTCAGGCTCATAAGAGATAGTGTAAGTGGAAGCACTTTGTAAATGGGTAAGAGCTGGTCTGTTGGATTTTATTTTTATCTTACTTGAAATCTAGTATTAACCCATATAGCAGCAGTCCTCAAGTATTTGCTCTCTGAAACCCTTTACATGCTAGGTGGCATGGACCAGACCTTGAGAACTGCTGCTTGAAAGAAAGTAAGGGTGCAACAAGACAAGGTTTACTGATGATGAGTTTTTGTTGATTGAACTGAAAGACCTGTGTTATCTTTATATGATGACACATCTCCATTTTTTAAATTATACTAGTTTATTTACAAAATTTGAATACATTGTTTTCCAGAACAGATTCCTCCAATTTTTCTCACTCCCCTGACCCATCAAATTGTGTAACTCCATGATGAATCTCCATTTCTACAGATAAAACATTTTGTTCCAGCAAACAAAATTGAGTTTTTACAGTACTTAAAAGTGTATTTCTGCTTCGCTTATTAATTTTATTTAGTTTTTTAAATCCTTCTGCATATCTGGTAGTGACCCAGCACATACTCTGAGAGGCAATTTTGAAAAGGGCACTAAGGAGGGGAGCTCGGTGGCCTAGTGGCAAGGAGCTGCAACTACAATCCCAGAGGTGAACGGTTCGAATCCACCAGTTGCTCTGCCAGGGAAGGAGGGACAGTCTCCTCCTGTACCAGTCAGATCTGATTTGACAGTACACGCACACAAAAATAATAAAATTTAAAAAAGGGGGGCACTAAGGAAGCAACATTCAGATGTTATTAGGCGTGTCCAAAGAAGTACCTGAGTGTGTATAATATAAAGAATTACTAAAGAGTCTGCAATCTTTTTATGTAACTTTTATTTGTCCAGGTAGCTTTGTTTCTTTTCTAATAATTGGTTCCCTGAAAATACCAAATTTATTTTTTTGTCATATGTATTGTATTTTGCAGAGACTCGGAAAAGCTTGCTTCTTGCAAGAAGCCAGATCCTCTGTCTCCAGTCAAAGACAACATCCAACTAACTCCGGAAGCAGATGATGATATATTCAATAAGTCCGAATGTGCACGTGTTCAGAGAGCAATATTCCAATAAACTCGGCTTGGTGGGAGGCTTGTCGTCTACAAGCAAATATCAACTTGAAATCCCTGTTTGAGGATGAGACAATTACCAAATGGGAAGATTTGTCTTGTATCTTTGCCAATTTAAATATAGAGTACATTTTGTATATTAACTATATAATTGTCTCTTGCTCAGCTTTTTATATTTCCCTAAGAAACTAAATAGAAGGATAATTTTGCCTCTGACAGCTTTTTTAAAGTTTTAATATTATTTGTGCAAGTCACCTAAAATAGATGAAAATCTAAAGATGACTGCAGTATTTTCAGGTGTTAGGCGGTAAGTAGAAAACCGCAGTTCTGAAATCATCTTGTTCTAGAGAAATCACTAAATTTCCCAGGCTTTTCCTGTCTATATTCTAGGTTGAACTGAAAACAAACTTAGGGGGTGGAGGGTATTTAGCATTTTTAAAGAGCATCCTATAAATGGATCATGCTCTATTCCTAAAATTTGATTGAGATGAAAGATTGACAGGGATAAAAAAAATTGCTTTTAGTCTAATATAAAATGAAATTCTTATGCCATTTGTAGTCTTATTCAGAAATAGTCATAGTATTTCTTGCTATGTCTTGAAATGTAGGCTTAAAAATCCTGAAATATTTTCAAACTAAGTTCCCTAACTCAGCTCCCTGCCATAACTATGTTTCCTACTCATTGATGCTCCATCTCATTTCTGAGGCTCCCTATGTTAATGGGGGGGAGACTACCCATCTTTCTCCCATGGGGCCGCTGGTGGATTCGAACCACCACACACACAGCCTTTAGGTTAGCAGTTCCGATAGTTTCCCAAAGTCTACAAAAAAAATACTAAAAGTACCTAATATATAGAGGATGAAAGCAAGGGGCCTAGAGTATATTCATTTTGTATATAGCTCTCAGATAAGTAGGTCTGAATGTGACAAAAATAAAACAAATGATCTTGCGAACGATCTAATTAGAATATATTTATTTTCTGGAATTGTCATAACCACAGTCTAGCAGACTTACAAAACAGACATACACTCTCAACAAAAGTCTGAGCTCAAAGGGTTGAAAAGGTTAATTCCTTCTGGAAAACTCTGAGAAGCTGTTTTCCCCATGCGTTTTCTAGCTTCTTGGGATTCTTTGTTTTTATGAATCATTTCAGTCATAACATCCCAGAGCTTTCGTGTGTGTGTGTCCTCGCGCATGCCTGCCTGCCTTTGTCAGTCATACTGGAGTCATTGCCCCCCCCATTCCAAGTGACCTCACCTTCACTAATTACATTTGCAAAGACCCTATTTCGCAGTAAGGTACCATACCATGAGTGTTTAGGAGGGGAACACCTTTGAACCAGTACACTAAGAGCAAGAGCAAAAGCCAATTTTAATTTTTTGAGAATAGCTCCTTCCCCCCCTTTTTTTTTATTAATTTCAATAAACATTTACAGAGATTTTGGATTTCCATTCATTCATTGTTGCACTTTTCTCCCCGCCC